GAATTCCATATCCAAGTGTAGAATCCAAGAATTATACAAATTATCGATCTGAATCTAATGGAGCTTCGCTCGCTCGACTTCCAGAGGTGGTCCAAACTTCTCAATATTATTGCTTTTTAACGAGCAACACTTTGCACTTCGTCAATCCGCTCATTTGATTCGTAAGATATTAACGATAAATCTGTCAAATTCTTCGCGTCCGTTCAAACGACTTGTTCGTTTCGAAAGACGAAAGAAGAATCGACGAAATGAATGTACTATTTCTTTTGATTCGAGACGATAAACTCCGACAGATTTCATTCGAATTAATTCGAATGAAGGATTGTGCTTACCAGGAGGTCGGGACATCGAGTAACGTGCATAATATCTAAATGAGACGATAACAAGCGGAATGACTCTCTCTCTCTCTCTCTCTCTCTTTCTCTTTCTCTTCTCTTTCTCTCTCTTTCTCTCTCTTTCTCTCTCTTTCTCTTTCTTTCTCTCTTTCTTTCAGTGCTTAAACTCGATCAATGCGATGAAAGTTGCCGCGATGAGAAAAATTCGTCTCGCTAATCTTTTACATTATCGTACCGCAGCAAACGCGTGCACCCAAGCTATACCTGACCATAATCGAGTAATATATGCAGTGTCTGAGACGCATAAACTGCTTCAATCGTGACCACCGTAATGCTTAGGAGTAATCGTTATTTACGACGCTGTAAAGCGTAAAACGGGGATGAAACGTTGTAATGAAATGGTTAATTATGTTGATTCATGTTTGCATTTACCTCACAGCTGCTACGAGTTACGTCCTACGTTGTAACGTGCGTGCAATTTTCGAACTAATGTCTGCTCTCTAAGTTTACGAACGATATTTCCATTTTTCTCCCCTCTTTCCCTTTCTCTCTCTCTCTCTCTCTCTCTCCCTCTCTCTTTTTTCTTAACTCGCTCGTTAAACTTACATTTTCTCGAAGCACGTAGGTCAACGATTTCAACAAACTAGTAAACACGGAAATACTTTCCTGATGTAAAATTTCAAGAAAATTTTTTAACGATAAACGATATGTAGGTAAACTATATCTATGAATGCATTCATCACTTTCGTTCTCTTACAACTTAGGCTTCAATTGAATCAATACTAATCGAAATAATCGTAAGGTAAAAAATAATGACGTATCGAACGTGCTGCCGACGAATGGGTCGAGCAATATCTCTAAGCTGTTTTAACGCTGCGCTGAGAGTGCGCTTCTACAACGCGGAAGCTCGTTGCGGGGGAGTGCAGATGCAGGATCGCGCCGACGGCCGGCCTCCTCGGAAGGTCGTGCCATTCAGCGGCCGTTCACCCGTCATCTCTTTCTTTTTCTGCTCTTTCCCTTCGTTTTCTAACCTATCTCAGGTATCCCGCCTTTGTTACCGTACCTACTATATTCTATGTATCTCCATGTATATATATATATATATATATATATATATATATATATAGATATATATATACATATATATATACATTTACCTTGTATATATGTACTTATACTAAGAACAACTGAATTTACTCGAACGAGCCACGCGACTATAACAATCTTATTTTTTCTTTTTTTTTTTTTATCTGTCTCTTCCTCTCTTTTTCTATTTTTCTTTCTCACACACGTATACTATATAATCGACGATCATCTTTGGTCGATTTCGTTGTATTCGCTTAGAACATTCCGTTCTTACGATCGACTGCATTTTATAGGCTCGCGTGACGTTCCTGACAATGACCGGACATCGTGATGCTTTTCAGCAAAGAAGAGATAAGTATAGGCCTTGTGAGTTCAATAGAAGAGGTCTTTACGAAGGACGATTTAGAAAGAGCGACGAGCTACGATAGGTGCGATTAGCGTCCCTTAACGCCTTCCTGACTAGCTTGTCGCCTGGCAAAGGGTATCCAGGACGTTCACCTTTCGTCCTTTTGTCCTTCTACGTCACGTTATCAGTCTAACGCATCCGCATAACCGGTCCTTAGAATATGTTTATCGCACGGGCAAACGCCTTCAGCGACAAATTCACGGAGGTGACAAATTATGGATCCGACTTTACGGTATTTTTATGAGTTAGGTGTGACGATCATTGATCATGCTATTATACTCTCTACTAGTATAGCGCAACGTCATCAATTTCCTTGGTCGATCGAGAGGCGATCACGCTGGTAATAAGATTGATTCTAATGGGAAATATTCGAGAGACATTTAAAACGAACATGCTCTTATAATTATTACAAGCACATATTCCGCCGATACTTTCGCATTTTTTTTCTTTTTTTTTATATTTTAATTTATTAATCACATCGAAGCGTCAATGCCCGTAATTTTTTACTTCTTTTTTCTTTTTTCCTTTTCATTAACGAAGTCGACGGTATTTATATCGACGATTTCGCTGAATGAGCAAACGAAAAAAAATCATAATCGCGTCTAATAAAATCTTAGACATATTTCTAACTATATTTACGTAGGTACGTTTCTCTCGTTCTATATGCAGAGTGCGTGTCGAAGGCATTGCGCTAGGTCACGCGCTCGATCGTGCAAATTACGCGTTCGAATCGAACGCGTTTCTTACATCCGTGCTCCCTTTCTGCCTTTCATCCTCGTAACCGTGTCGATCATGCCGATCGACCGTTCGAACGAGCACTCTCCGTATAGTCTCTCTCTTGACTATCGTCGGTATCGTGATCCTTTCACTTTTCGATCGCGCCACAATGTATCGCTCTACCCTTTGAATGTCTCTCGTACGGCGAGAGAGGCTATCTCGACGGGAAATATTTAAACGATAATATCGCGACGCTTAAACTTTCGAACAGCCGTTCGGCTTAAAACGTTTAAACGTTTACATAGATAAATATGTAGCCAATCGATATAATTAAAAACGTTTTATACGCATTTACATTCAATACAAGGAATTTGAAATTTCTTCGTAGATGCAACTAGGTCTTATTGCGGGGCTTACTACAGGAGAAATACGTCGAAAGTCTTTGCGCTCCCTTATCGATAAGAGTAGAGTAAAGAAGGGCCGACGAGTACAGGCAAGTAGGAGAACGTTAGATAGAGAAAATAGAATCGGAGAAAGAAGATGAAGGTGGAATTCGTTTGGCGGATCTTCTCACGCGCCTTACTCGCGAGACGAGTTCTTCCTCGTCGTTGGCGTCCGAGGCAAGAGCGATTTCTCTTCTTAATCGCGACGTATGTCCTCCGGTCTTCGTCCTTGGAAGTAAGAACGTTCAATGAGCACCATACGCAATCTTCGATAACCCCTTTGATTAGAGGAATTCAGCAAGAAACGTCGAGACGGCGCCAGCCAACGGGTCGCTGAGAAAAAGCGGTCGAGTGAGGAGTTCTAATGCTCGAATGCCAATGCGCTTATTTATTTCTAAATAGCATAACCGTTCGGTCAGACGGTGTCGATGGTTATGCCAATCACCGTTCCCCGTCTATACTTACTACATATACCGACAACGCGGTTATTCGTTGAAACGATTAAACGATCATGCGTTTCTCCAATCGTAAAATGTATTAACGCCACCAAAGGCCTTTGCTATCGAGACAACATTCTTTTTCGTTCCCGAAGTTCGCACAATATTTAAACGTAGCTTTCATTTAATTCACGAACGAGCGTTCTCGTTAAAACCGAATGAAATAAATCGAGAATGGTCGAATGCCGTTTAAAAGTCCTCCTATGTAGCTCTATTTATGTATATATAACAATCGACGGCAATTAGAACGTTCTTGTAAATCATTTTCCAACAAAGCATGCTGCCACATTAGGTCCACCGAGCAACCTTAATTACACCGGTCTTACAAACACCGGCAATTTTATTGTTAGTATTTCAGTATCGTCGATAGCATCGTAAGCAATTAAATCAATTATCAGCAAGCACTGTCCGTTTCTGGTTTAGACGGACACATTGCACCGAGTCGAGTCGAGTCGAGTGATGGCAGGTGGATATCGTCGGTATAGTATTATATCGTGAGAAAATATGCGATTAATTTCCTGCTCCGCGAGTTAACGGTGTACGGTCGATATACGAGCCGCAGAAGTAAGAATCGTATATGTCTGCGCGATGACACTACATTAGAAACGGCCATACATTGTCTCTTCTACGTTCGCCGCTTTGCTGTCGTAAACATTTGTCCAAGAAATTCCACGAATGAAGTAATACACTTGTGTGACCGTTCCTAAATTTTTTCTTATCGCACCCGATCGATCGGCATTTGAAAGTGGCGGGAAGTCTAGAAAATCAAATATCTCGGTCTCTTTTCAAAATAATCTAAACGTTCAATCTAACGTAAACAATTTATTATATACACATATTAAATATACGATAACGATAAGACATAAATTGAGAATAAAAGGGCAAAATCAACGATGTCTTATAATATTATATAGTTCAAAGAAGGAAAGAAGCGCGTTTATAACCACGTTAACTTTACAAGGCCACCATCGATCGACAAACTTTTACACGTTGAATATTATGAAAGGATTTCATTGTAAATTCACCGCGTGCCAAGATAAAACAGACAATTCTTAATTTCACCCGTGCGTGAATAATGCCAAGTTAATGCCACGGAGTGGCATATCTCGAAGTTCAGAATAATTGACTCGAATCGAGCTGTATTCCACGCGAAAGTGAGATAGAGAAAAATAAAGAAAAAGAAAAATAGAGAAATAAAGAAAGAAAGAAAGAGAGAGAGAGAATAAAATAAGAGGATTATGAAGTGCTTTCGTAAGTGGTTTCTCTAGCATCCATCTTCCTGATTATGAATGAGACTCGACGTGGCGCGCGAGTTACGCGAAGAATTGCAGATAATTTTTCGAATATGTCGGTAAATTTAAAAGGTCTTATTGACTTCAAAGATAATTTTGTATAGATTGATTCACGAGATTTGCGAATCATTACGATCCGCATCGCCAACGACGTCTTCGTCGCTGTCTTTGTCACTGTCATCTTTGTCATCGTCGTCGTCGTCATCGTCGTCGTTGTCGTTATCGGTGGGCGTCGTCTATATTACCAAGGCCAACCGGTACATCTATCGTAAGAAGATGGGAACACGATGAGTTATCCGAGAAGCAGGTCGGAAGAAAAGATGGATGACTCGTCGTGGTTATTTAAGCCATTCAAATAGCCGTCGTCTGTGTCTCATTAAGCTCGTTGGACGACGTCTTCGATTATTATTTAATTAACGAGTATCCAGAAGAATAAATCTTAAGTAAATGCAAACGTAAATATATAATTAATACATATATATAATAAATGAAAATTCATATCCTTCCGGATATTAAATAAGATATATACCTTATATATTTATGTAAACGTCTTACATACTTCACTATGTAAGTACTTACTTATACCGAATGTGAGATAAAGGAAATGGTCGATTTCACAATCACCTTTCGATTATTTTCTTTCTCTCGTACATGTTAACAACTTGAATTTACATCGATCCAACGACAGTTGTAACTCTTCTAAGAGGACGGTTACATGGAAAAGGCAAACTCAAGGAGAGTCCTTAACTGTGTACGGTAAGAGTTCGCGGTGGCCGAGTTGAGTCTGAATCCTACAGGAACGTCGTGGAATTTAAAAACTCGTCTATGGGTAACACCCGTGTCTAGTACAACCTCCTCCTCCTCCTCCTCTTCTTCCTCCTCCTCCTCCTCTCTTCTTCTCTCTTTTCCTCTTCTTCCTTATTCTCTCCTTATCCTCCTCATTTCCTCTCGTTGGCACTTGAGGCAAGAGGAAAGAGCTAAAGAGACGAGCCCAGCTGCATTTGTACTCGAACGCGTTGTCCGCTTTAACACTCGCGAACACCGCGGCGTGTCGAGAATGCGGAAAGAACGAGAAACTTCTCTTTCTCTTCTACTTTTGTATTGCGCACACATATACGTGAGCACACACATAGATACTTACATATGTGAATATGTACTTACGTACGATGCCGGTAACTCGAGACGCGCGATGTGATGGCTCTTTGGAAAACCGCGCGAACTGACCAACACGGTTGCGCATGCGCGTTCACATACACACATATATACACATACGCATACGCGCATTCACATACACGCTCTAAGATCCTCTCCAAGGGTAGATTGTATTTGCTCTTATCAAGATTCAAAGGCTTCCTCGGTTAACAGACTCCAGCAGCCTCTAGGGTTACCACGTTCGCGACCGTACATAACGAATAAATGTACTCCATCCTCCTTCCTGCCATCTCCTTCTAGCTCATATTATTAACGCCTTAATGTTCCACGGAATGGGACATTTTAAATGTTTTATGAACTTGTTCTACGTTCCTATGGGCGTTCGCTTCGTACAGTTCCTATGAGAGAACTATTTGTCGGATTTACTCGTATCATCGATAATTCATCCTTTTCATATTACAGACCGTAACGATTCTTTTCATTTCACTTCGAGCGTGTAATTAAAATATGCTATAGTAAGGCGATATTAATTATTGATTTTTTAATTTCTTTTTCTTTTTATTTTTTTTTTTTATTTATTTTTTTTTTTTTTTATTAGATACGATACTCAAGGATGGTGTCTTGCGGAATTACCATCGTGAAAATAACTTTTCATAAAGCCAGAAATTTTTTTCTTCTTTTTTTTTTTCAATTCTACGTGAAATTTCATACCAAGAATGATGACGTTTAATTTATTTCATTTTCATCGATATACCATCGTTCGTTGGAAAACCAATAGTCGATCGTGGATTCATATAAAATCGTTACGGTGCTTCCTCCTTTTTTTCTATTGTTTTAAAAGCTATACGACACCAATTTATGTGGACACGCCCTATACTATGAACATAAATTTCATTTTATTCTCTTTTTCAGAACGTTTTCAGCCGCTACCGGTCGCGGTGGAATCCTCTCTCGATGGTTTAATTTTGTGTCGTATACGCAACCCGTATGCCATCCACCTCGCATCGAATTTATCCGTGGTTCGAGCTACATGTCCCGGCCGCAGCAGCTCGATCTTCTCTGCGGTAAGAGAATATTCTCTTTTACGATCGAGAAATTGAAAATGCATTTGCATTTCTCTCTTGCGGATCGGATAGGCGGATAAGTTTGAGGTTTGATAAATAAATAATGTATGTATGTATATGTATATATGTATATACCTATCTACTTATGATCTTTCGAATATTACAGACGATTAAATATCGACGAAATATCAACAAAATCTTAGATAATCTTTTCTTCTTTTCTCTGTTTAAAAAGCGAGCGTATTCATCGATATGACACGCCGTTTAAAGTCATATTATGGTTCGTGAAAAGTCACGATCTTTAATATCTGCGATACATGTAATGATTACCTTCTTCTTCTTCTTTTTCTTCTTCTTCTTCTTCTACTTCTTCTCCTTCTTCTTCTTCTCCTTCTCCTTCTCTTTCTCTTCTTCTCCATCTCTTTCTCTTCTTCTCCATCTTCTTCTTCTTCTCCTTCTTCTCATACTTCTCCTTCTTCTTCTTCTCCTTCTCCTTTTCCTTCTTCTTCTTCTTCTTTTTCGTACTAACGACTTTCCAAGAACGATCTAAATCACGAGTAAAACGTTGAACTTTAGCGATTGGCATTGACGCTTCTTTCAACGTCCACTTTAATCATAGGTTTATGACGCTACCAAAGATAATAACCGACGACCCCGCTGTAAAAGAGTAAACCATCGACAATGTTGTAACGTAATTGTTACTTTCAAGTCTCACACCTTCGAGATAATCCATCCACGGTAATATCACCTTCTCGATAACGTTGCGTTTAACACCTTCGCATAATCACAAGTAATAGTTAGCTATTTGCATTAAGGCAATATTACTTTATCAATACTTAGATTGAAACGAACGGTAAGGTCTCAGTTAACGAGTTAATAAAATTTTCTTTTCTCATTTTCGTTTCTCACGCATTCAAATCGTTTTCTTCTAACTAAAGATATCTTCGAATATAGCAATGTTGAAAGATTCACGACAATAAAAAAACAACAGTATTTTGGATGGTTCAAATGTTCATCTCACTATTAATAGATAACGGTGACTCAATTTCAGACTAGGCGTTTCCTTGACTCCGTCTTTAAATTTGTCCCATCGACTCATCGTATTTTCTATCGCTATCGTTAATTCACTAATTGAAGACATAATTGTTAACGAATATCGTGATTATCTTACTATATAAATTTTTCGACCTTATTTAAATCAGAAAAAAGAAAAAAAAAATTAGATTACAAATGACAAAAAGATTCACGACAGATCGTGAAAAAAAAACATTATATTTCAACTGAAAAGAAAAAAAAACTCAGACTGTCTACTCGTTATAAAAGTTAACATAAAATATTTTCCTAAATTATTTATCGTCTTTCTTCTTGTAATACGAAATATATGATAGGAATCCAGATATACGTCTAAACAGCTCAAACACTTCGGAGCTAATGAGTCGTAATTAAAAGGCCTCGTAGTACGTTACAAGGTGTTTGATAATAACTCTATCTTTCATAGTACTATTTTTACAAGAAACAAGACGTCAAGGTTATCTTCGATCCTAATACGTATTTATTTAAATCGTCTCCAAAACAACCTATTATATTTACTACGAATATATAGATTCGACGTAACGAGAATAAAAAAAGAAAAAAGAAAGAAAAGAAATATTATGTCTCATAGAGTGAAGACGTCTTATACGATCAAAGTCAATGCGCAAATCTTTACGGTAGGTCAAGATTCACCTTGACTCAATGGAAGAAGCTAATACATATATTCTGGGTCAAGCGTGACTCATTGGTGACGTGCTTACGAATCGGTAGGCATGGCTATAAATTTCGCAAGGCTATATTGACTCAGCTATGCATCCACGATTATTAAAAACACGTTAGAAAGACATGAAAGAGCTCGAAAACAACCTATCTTCTAGCTTTCACACGACTCAAGGTTACCACTCGGTACTATTACACGACTTCGTTACGCATGATGGACAAAATAAAAGGCACCGCGATGGAATGCTATATTGATTACGGTTCGTTAAGAGGTATCGTGGAAGGTAGCCGAGTTGATTACCGACATTACATCGGCACACAGATCATTTTCCTAAAGCGAGAAGAATCTCTCTCTCTCTCCTCTCTCTTCTGTTTCTCTCCTCTTCTCTCTCTCCTCTCTCTTCTGTTTCTCTCCTCTTCTCTCTCTCCTCTCTCTCTTCTCTCTCTCCTTTCTCTTCTGTTTCTCTCCTCTTCTCTCTCTTCTCTCTCTTTCTCCTCTCTCTTCACTCCCTCTCTCTCTTAATTCTTCTCTCTCTCTTTCTCTTTCTCTTTTTTCTCTTTTTTTTTCCACGTTGAACCAAGATCGCAGGCGATGATTTCGAAGAGGTTAAAAGAGGGCGATTCGAGGAAGGTCTTTGCGGTCAAAGCAATTCTTCAGAAGAAAATCATCAGCATCAGTGTGGCATAAAATAGCAATGGGATATCATTACCAATGCGACCGGTCGGTTTTAGTCTCCCTCTCTCTCTTTCTCTTTCTCTCTTCGTTTTCTTCCTCTTCTTTTTACTTGTTTCCTCTTTTCTCGTCACCATCTTCCCACTATCTCCCCCATCCTCGTTCTTGTCTCTTACTCGAATCGCTTTACGAATAAGCAAGCAATACTAAGGTGTTCTTTCTATGATACGGTAAGCCGTGTCGTAGGAAAGAAACGATCGAGTCGAAGTAATACTAGAAACAGGCTCCCCGTCGTTCGACGTCCCTGGACCAATGCAAAGTCCTTCGTAAAATCCAAGAAATAATATCGACGTTCCTATAATCTACAAACGGAGAATGCGTTCCTTGGAAAGCGACCACGAACGAAGGAATCGTGCGATATCACCAACGAAGACGAGGACGTAGCACGAGAAGCATTTTGTGGATCCTAAGAAGGTCGTCTGGACGTGCCTCTTCGAAGCTATGGCTCTCAATCTCTTGGAACTCTTTTCTTATCGTTCGTTGAATGTATGAACGGGATTCCTTGGAAGCAACGATCATCGTGAGAGCAGAGATTCGTTTGTTTCCTTTCTAAGTACATAAATACTTACGTATATTATTTGACAGACATCGCGAAAATGATTAAATTAAATTAAATTAAATTAAATTAAATTAACACGGCCGACGGACGAAATGTTATCGTTAAAATGTCATCTACAACGAGGATTACCCGTATTTTTTCTTCAATTTGGAAAAGAAAAGTATAAATATTTGAAAGTAATAAAATCAGAAGTAATTGTTTGTCAAAATCGAGGATTTCAAGGATCAAATATGCTTCTCTCGAAATCAATGAAAATTTCAATACTCGGTGCCAACAATGAGACCGGTATTACGTTTTTTAACGATAAGATATAGACGCAATAATAATACATTAATATAATAAATGTAATATCGAATTAACCTACAAGAAATGTTATTCAAACGCAAAACGCGTAATATTAAAGGTAGATTTTTATCACTGCTTCTGAAACGATCCTGCCTGATAGACGAGATTTCGTTATACGATAGGGAGTCAACGCACTATCTCGCATCGGAGCTCAATCAGATTGACACGAGATGCAAAGTCACGACGTATCCGCACAACGAGGAATGCCTGACTCAAACGCTGCAGGATGCAAAAGTGGTAATTCTCGTAGCTGGGAAAAATCTTAAATACGAATTGACATCGACGGAATTACTCGAGTCAAACGCCGAGATCTTGTCGGATTTACTGCCGAATGTCATTAGAAGCTGTCCTCGGGTAAGCGGCCAGAACGATCACGGGGTGAAAGATAGTAACAAAACTGACAATCTTAATTACCATGCAAATTGCTTGCCGAGGGTGCGAGCATCTCTCTCTTTTTCTCTTTACTACCATCTTTTTCGCGATAATTTCCTAAATGACGTCGGATCGATGCGTCGATGAGATCGCGAGACGATTCTGCAAGCCAACGATCTCTTTGTCGGAATATCTTACTACACGTTCTTCCGTTTAAACGTATACATACATATATACGTGTTTATTTGTATACAGGTGTGTATACAAATATTATAATATACACACACAGTTCACTTATCCCTACTAAGAAACTTCGACGTAACATTAGATTTATTTATTTGTACGATATAAGATTTATTTATTCGTACGATTTCTTCTACTCTAATCGCTATAGATATCATGCGCGCTCTCTCACTCTCTCTCTGTCTCTCTCTCTCTCTTTCTCTCTCCTGAGAAAGAGAAAGTTTCAGAGATCTGTTCGATTAACATAAAGCTTTCGACGTATTATATCGCCGAAGAGAAAGGGAATCCCTTTTAACGACGTAAGTACATCGCTTCGATCAACCGTATCCAATTAAACTAATTTAATCGTACATTAACTATTCCGATCTCAAACTCTTCCTAGAACGAATCGTCCCTTCTACTCGTTTTTCTCTCTTTTTTTTCCCCTACGACGAAACCACTCGCGATTCGTCGTCCCTTCCAAAGTGAGTTGAGAGCTCGTATCGATTCGTTTCTCGTTAGAAACGATTCAAGTGTAACCTTTTAAATGTACTCGAGTCAATGACTTTGAAACGAAAGGGATCGTTTAGAAAATGATCTTTACTTTTTATATTCAACTCTATCAATTTTATTGTACCGTAATTATTTTTTAACGTAATGAGAAACAAATCGATGATTATGTATGTACGTTCGATATCCATTTATTTCCATAAACAATTTGAAATGTTTTCTCGTAGCTCCTCGCAAAAGGAAAAGAAAAAAAAGGGAAAGGTTGAAAAAAAAAAGAAAGAGAAAAAAATAAAAAGATTGCTTCGCTTCCAGTATACGTCGGCTCTTGGCCAAGCAAAACATGTTTAATCTTCCCGCTCGTGTTTATCCTACCAAGGCGTATGCGCGAGCGTCTGGCATTTTGCTCGTGAAAAGATGTGGTCGGCAGCGAAAGTACGTTGTACGGCCGAATAATGGCCAGTCTTCGTGTTTTATGTACGACCGAACATCATTTCTTATGTATAGCGGTTGGCCTCGGCTTTTAACGCCCTCGCAGCTTCATTAATTACGCCGAAGCTGTTTTCGACATTCCTCCTCTCGACACGGTGTCTCGACAAGGACAAGGATGTCGCTCGTCGATCGTCTTCCATTTTTCTTCTCCTACCATATCTTTTCTTTCTTCCTTTCTTTCTTTCTTTCTTTCTTTATTTATTTATTTTTCTTTTTTCTTTACAAAACCAATGACACTTTTCTCATATCCTCTTTATCCGCTTTGTTCTCATAAACGAGAAATGTTAAGAGATTTATATTTTTAATTATTTAATATCAATAATGTCGTTTTAAAAATATTCTTTCCTTGTACGGATGAATATTTTTATAGATTGAAATAAAACTTTCATGTTATTAAACCACATGTCATTATAAAATCATGACCAATGTAAATTATAATCCTATTTTATCGTGTTTACTCGATAAATCTTAAAACGAATGTATTCATTTTGTTTTCATTACAGGCGATGATAGCGATCGCGATGCAACCGATTAACAGTTTAATACCCATAGCGGTAGAAATGTATAAGAAAGCTGGTATCTATGAGTACAAACATATCTTTGGAGTGAACACACTCGATTGCGTAAGAGCAAATAGTTTTGTCGCAAAAATGGTGAATATAGCACCAGAATGTGTAATGGTGCCGGTTATCGGAGGATGCTGTCCATATACTTGTATTCCTCTCTTCTCGCAAATGAAACCACATGTCTACTTATCAGCGGTTATTGATTTTGATAAATATTCAAAGAGAAACTTTTACAAGAAATCAATACGAATTGAATGGATCTTAAAAAAGTAATCGCTATTTTAGAAAAATATGAAGGATTTAATCAATTTCGTGAGAGAAGCTGACGAAGAAGTTTCAAAAGCCAATAATGGAAACGTTTCGATATATGCATCAGCTTTTGCCATAGCTAGATTTTGCATTTCCCTTTGCAAAGGTACGTTCAATGATGAACGAAATATTATGAGAAAGTATAATGTATACGACGATAATAATTAATGATATTGTCGTTAGCGATACGACAACAAAGTGGAGTAGTGGAATGTGCTTACGTTCGTTCCTGCGTAATACCGGAAGTGACATACTTCGCTTCCCAACTCGAGTTAGGTCCAAACGGTATCCAAAAGTACCTTGGTATTCCACCTATCAACGACGACGAATGTAAACTACTGCTCGACGCGATACCTGTTTTAATAAAAGCTATTAATCAAGGCGAGGTAATCAATAAATTCGTATGTAAAAGACCGTTCTATTGTTTATTAAAAATAATTTCTTATCATTTTGTCCTATTTATTCTTATACAGACATTAGCTCTTGGATCTAAATCGTCAACGGAGAAGTGTCCCGTCTATCCCGATGTTTGTCATCGTGCGCTCACACCGTCTTACATTCGTTGAATTTGATCGAGATTTTATAATATTGTATAAGTAATCGCAAAGGACACAATGAATATATATATATATATATATATATATATATATGCATATATATATATATATATATGTGTATATTTATATATATATACACGTTCGAAAGGTAACCAAGCGATTTATCATTTATTCCGTTATACTCCAGACGCGCGGTAACTGTAGCAATATCATTTGCGATATCTATGCGAATTGCGGTTGAAAACGTCATGGAAGGCACGGTTCGTTTGGAAATCGATTCAAGCGACGCAGTTACGTGAGAAGATTGGTTGATGATGCTCGATGGGTACCGTAATGACATGATGATTCGTATTCACGTGCATACATATTATATACATATGTATACCTATAAATGGAAGACGAAATGCATATCGCGCGATCTAGAAAGGTAGCTTTTTTAAATTGAAGAAAATCCATACCTACTAAGAGAGAGAAAGAAAAAGAAAAAGAGAGAGAGAGGGAGAGGGAGAGAGAGAACACGCAAGAACTTCATTCCGACTATTATCCAGTTTTTTCCTTTTAATACTTCATTTCATCTTGGAGACGTTCATCTTCGAGAGAAGATATGACAAAGATACCTCTCTACGTTGGGATCGCATCTCAGGGTCAGTGCTCTTTCTTTCCTTCTCTTACTCTTTCTCTTTCTCTCTGGATAGCTTCACGTCCAGCTTGGCTCCGCACGTGTATGAAAGACGCAGTAAATGACTTTTTCTACCAAGTCGCTTTATGCTCCTCGCGGTTTACGATTACACCATGTTCGTGGCCGCGCGTGTGCCCTAATGACCGTGCTTCAATCTTTTTCCTTCCTATGTCACACATACATATTCTCTCCCTTTCTCTCTCTCTCTCTTTCTCTCTCTCTCTCTCTCTCTCTCTCTCTCTCTCTCTCTCTCTCTCTCCCTTTCTCTTTCTTTTTCTTTCTACTTCTTGCACACATTTCGAAGCAATCCTTAAAGATGAGCCGTTCGATTCTCCGGTTATATCTTTGGCTTCCTCTCCTCTTTCCTCCTACAGTGGCCTCCTTCCTTCGAGATAGTTATTATCGATTGTCATTGCGAAAGACGCGGGTGGTAGCTCTAAAATGATTTACAACCATATCGACCAACCGACGATGGTACTGAAACGAATCCTTCGCCTTTCTGCGACGACAAGAACGTTATTCCACTTAATTATAGTGAAATATATATATATATATATATATATATTTTTTTTTTATTTGCTTTTTCTTCTTCTTCTTATTCGTTTTGCAAAATATGTTTAATATTTATACAAAATATCCATATCTACGTATATAAAAGAGAAAGATAGGGAGAGGGAAAGAAAGAGAGAGAGAAGATATAAATCGAAACAATGGACCACGATGCATGGAAGATCGTCCGAGAATAAACCCGTAAAACGGTTTGACGAGCGGATCCTAAGCGGTGGCAGGGTTTCTTCTCTCAACGGGGCTTCGCTTTTACGAGCAAACCACATCCAAGCGAGGATCGGACGCATTTATTTTGCGCGAATATCGTCAGGTCACTTCGAACATTTTCGAAATGATGATATACGTTTTATTTTTCTTCGAAAAAGAGAAAATAAATAATCTAAAAGTACGTCATCGAATTTAATTTAAATGTAAAATGTTAATTAGACAAGATCGATCATGAGATAAAAAATTTTCTTATATTGATTATTGTCTTTAATCATTTTTCTATCATATATAAGAACTTCAATAGCAATTCCAATTGTATCTGAAGACAGTGGTGTCATCTTTGATTAGAGATAAGTACTATGTGAGACATTCGATAAGGTAGAAAATTTCTTATTAAAGTTCACGAAATAAAAAAGATAATGATATTATTGACATTTCGGCAATAATTAATTATTATTATGTCGTCTGTAATTTCAATCGGATTCGTTCAAGTCATACTTATCGATATAATAACACATAAGACTTGGAATATAATAATCCTCGCGAAGCCCTAAAGTTAGGAACCGTTTACGTTCGTCCGGAATATTATTTTCCGTTAATGTATAATCGAGATTGATATCTTTTCCTTCAAATTTCCACGAGTAATTTTGTCCATGTGGATTAAATGATAAAGCACGTTCTTGAATACGTCTAATCGTATCCTCTTCGCAAACCTAAATGAAAAATGAGTATAAAATCAAAAAAAAGATTTAAATATATTCTTAATTTATCAAAGATCAATTTAATTAATATAATTTACCATTATAACACAACTCGTTCCGGTAAGAACATTGATAATTCTACATGGTCGTGAATTTTTTGTGAGTTTGCCTAACATGTACTTTTCGTCTAACCACCATGGACATTTGTTTAAAGGTCGCCAAGCAGTGGAAGGTACGACATAATCGGATACATCCGGTATTGGCCCATGTGGACAATATGGTACTAATACACCGGTAACAGGGTGGACGTAATATTTAATATCCTTTCGATTATGATCGAACCAATGACTGATATCTTTTCCTGCGTGTGCTATTAGAGGTTTTATCGCTCGTGTACATAACCACAATTTACATAAATTGGTCAGATCGTAAACGATGCCGTTACAAGAAACCCAACAGTCATTTGATTTATTATGTATCGCTACTTCGGTGGGTAAAAAGTATTTTTCAGATTCGCAGATTTTCAAGTTGTTTAATGAATTTTTGTAATCGATCAGATTATTACGTTCCGAACAAATGAACGACATCTTTAAAAATTAGTGTGTTTACCATTTGTTCGTGTTTGAATCGATTACGTTAACTGTATTTATGATTTAAAATTACATACTTATTCAAAACAAAAGTAAAGAGATTCTACTTACATCAATTAAATCATATTACACTTGCTTAGCTACAATATTTTTTAACGGTCATCTACAATAATCTAATTTTCATACCACTACATATTTCGAACGTACTAAGACTCAAATAGTAGTAAAGTAAGGAAATCAGTTCAATATTTTAATAAAATTAAGATAAATACATACCTAGACATTTTTTATAAATCAAGTAAAGAAAATACCTGTTCACGAATTATTCGATCTACTCATATTACGAACAAACTACTCGATATTAGCACTTTTCAAATTTTTGCGATTGAATAATTTTAGTACCAATATGTGCTAACTGCAGCACTACGATCGGGGCAACAGTCGATAATGCAGACCAAGTAATTCAAATACGTGGCTATTATAAAAATTTAAGAATTAAAAATATGTATAAGAATAATAATAAAATATAATACAATTAAATAGTTCGCTTATATTTATTATACTGATTATTTTAAAGAACGAATAGTAACGTAATAAATTTAAATTTTATTTCTACATTTACATAATTAATCATTTACATTATTTTAAACGACACATGATATTATTGAAAAGAATATCGATTACACGGATCACGTCACAAGAAAGTTGCTATGTGAAAAAACCCACTCACTAAAATTCTAATTACAGCACTGTTAATATTAATTTCTCTTCACCTTTTGCAGGTGGCGCTTGCGTGTAAGAAGAAACTGCTACAGTATCTATATAACATAAAAAGCCAAACCTTAAAGACACAAGATATTTTCTTCTTTTTCACTACTTTCGTAATGGTGCCTACCATTTTAGTGAGCTAAAAAAGGCCTATTTAATAGTGTAAGAATCTATGATTAATATTTGTTTCATTGTGTATGCAAAATTGAAAGTTAAAATATTAATACGTTTGTGTTTATTAATCTTTCAATATTCTATAACGTTATATTTAACATAGAGATACGATGTTTATTTAATTGTTTTATTTTTGCATTCTATATAATATATATATATATATATATATATATATATATATATATATATATATATATCTGCTTATGCTTGTTTCGTTAATCATTTAAATGATACATATATTATAATGAAAATTTAGAACAAAAAAAAAATCTGAGGGGTAAAAAAAGATACAGGGGATTCAGATGCGTATTTACATCCCTGCAAAAGTCTTGAGATAGAATATATCTCCTTCTTTGTTGATCCTCCTTCAACAAGGGGAAGGTAAGCATGCTCTGCCATAGTAGTAATAAACTCGACGGACTAAATCTAGAACAGAAGAAAGAAAAAAATCGTATTAATCGTTATAAAAAGGTCTTATAACGCAATATACTTCAAAAGTTGTAGTAAATAATAAATGTATTCGTCTAATGAAAAGTATTTAGTTGTGTGATGCAATGACATAATGAAATCGATCGGTTAAAGGAAAAGAAAATGTGTTTTATTGGTGAAAAGAGTTACTCCCGGTCGATAAAGCGATTTTCTCGCGAAGTTTCTGGTATCTTAAAAAATTTCAAGTCGCTAGGTTGGCTCTCCCGTTTACTTGAAGCCTGAAAGCAGTCACTGCATTGTGGCGATTGAATGGCCGCCTCGTCCAGAGTGTGCAGGTTCTGTTTTCCTGTAATTACTTTTACGTTGTGTGATTATATTGTACTCGTTTTAAATATTACCAATCTGATTTCATTCGGTAAGTCTTTAAATGTATCTTAATTATCGCTTAACGACGCAACCGAAGCAAGTCAGCCACATAACAGCTCAATACGTCGATCGCATCGAAACGTGCTCATAAAATTACGGTACCGGTGAATTGTTTTTAACTAATTATTATCCTACTCCATTTTCATTATTTTCAAGTTACCCTATCGAATGATTACGTATTTATCATGGAGGGCGCGTATTTTTCAAAGCGAAAATGCAAAATAGCGCGTTATGTTTTGTGATGTACACTGTACAGTAGTAGTTGTCAGACAGTTCATTATGTTCAGTCATGTAATGATTAGAATATATCTGTACATATTCATGCAGATAGACATTAATAAATTCAAAGTTATTTTCGTTTTTTATGTTATTCAAATAAGAAACTTTATACCTTTACTTGCATAGATTAAAAGATAATGGATTCTACTAAGTTGTAACATTGGGTTTTTATGTCGATTATGTGATTATTGGTTGAAGATTGAAATACTGCATATCTGTACTCAATACGTAGACCTTGGTTTTTATTTTTTTATTACATGATCATATCAAGTAAATTTCCATGAAATCAATATTATTGTTTTTAGAAGTTTGCAAATAAGAAACTATAAAAAAAATTTATAAATATTAATTTGCTCAAATGATCAAGAAAAAAATGTTTTAAGAACAAAAAATGTTTTTATACTATTTTTCTTAGTCGTTTATTTTAAATTAAAAAGTATATATATGTATTTAAATATGTATATATATATATATATATGTATGTATGCATATATATAAATACATATACATACATATTATATTTATTTAAAATTAATAATGATTATCATATAATAAATATGATTATATAATAGGTCAAGTTGACAGTATAATAAAGTAATAACCTATTTACAAATAATTATTCTCATCTAAATTATGAAATGAGGTCATATCATTATAATTATACATTTCTTATCTGAAATCAAACTGTTCTTAATACCATACTTTTAAAAATAAAGATATAAATGTTAACATAGATAAAATGTGACATTATGAATTGCCTTTACCAATATTTTAAAATATTATTATTTGATCTAAAAATTAATCTGAAAATTATTTTTTAAAAACATGTTAATAAACAAGTTTAAATTTAATGTGAAAAGTATTGCTCTTTATATAAATATTTTAACATTTATAGATACAAATAGGAAAACAATTGCTATAGCAAATATAATATATCAAAATTTCAATGTATAAATAAGTACAGCTTAAATCGGCGTGTTTAAAATTATGTACATATTTATTATCCATGTATATTTCATAAAAGTTAGTCATAAATTTATAAATATATATTATTATATATATATATTCTTATTGTAGGATTGTCGACATAACAGCAAAGACCATAGCACAGCTGTAAATTTGAAATGGAAAAAAGCGCGGACGGCCCATTGTTTCGCGCAGATAGAAATAATGGAGCTGATGAGGGGGCCATTGGAATATCCTGTATCGATGAACGTGTTGCTATCTTGGATGCAGGTGCACAATACGGCAAAGTGATAGATCGAAAGGTTCATGAGCTTAATATTCATAGTGATATTTTGCCTCTGGACACACCAGCTATCACTCTTCAAGAAAAAGGATATAAGTAAAGATAATAATATATCACATGAAATTTGATAAAAAAAATTATTAATCATTAGAGAAATTTAACATCAAATTGTTTTGCTATATTTTTTGTTCATAGAGCTATTGTTATCTCTGGTGGACCTAGTTCAGTATATGCAGAAGATGCACCTAGATATGATGCAGATATTTTCCGAATAGGAATTCCTGTACTAGGAATATGTTATGGGATGCAAATGATGAATAAAGAATTTGGGGGTACTATTGTAAGAAAATCAGGACGTGAAGATGGTCAATATCCCATTGAAATAGATACCAAGTGCCTTTTATTTAAGTGTGTACATTTTATTTAAATGTAACTATTTGAAAATATATAAAATATGTTCAATGTTCATATACTTATATTTGATATATTATGCATCAGGGGCTTGGAGAAAGAACAAATGGTATTGCTAACACATGGAGACAGTATAGACAGGATTGCTGACTGTTTTCGTATTACTGCCAAATCGTCAAACTTTATTGTAGGCATAGCCAGTGATAAAATGAATTTATATGGAGTGCAATTTCATCCAGAAGTAGACCTAACGCCTAATGGAAAAATAATGCTGCACAATTTTCTTTATGGAATAGCTGGTCTTACGGGTAATTATACGCTTCGTGATAGGGAAGCCCAATGTATTCAATATATCAGACACGCTGTTGATAATAAGAAAGTTTTGGTAAGTAATATACATCTTTTTCATAAAATAAAAAATTGATATAGTAAAGTAAGCAAATTATTGAAATTGCTATGGAGCGAGTATATCAAGATAGAATATTTCTAAAGATATTTAAAAGTAATTAAAAATATAAATATGCGAAAGTGTAATTGTCAATTGAAATAGAAAAAAACGATCATAGTTGTTAGTGAGCGGAGGCGTGGATTCGACGGTATGTGCAGTGCTATTGAACAAGGCACTCAGTAAAGATCAAGTTATCGCGCTGCATATCAACAATGGCTTCATGCGCAAAGGAGAAACGCAATTCGTGGAGCAGAGTTTGTCCCAATTAGGAATCAGATTGAGGGTAGTAAACGCTGCACATTGTTTCATGCAAGGCACTACCTCAGTTCCTTTGGATAATATTAATCCAGCCTTGAATGCAAACACTATAAACAGCAAAGGAATTGTTAGTACGGGAACTACTCCACGAACAAGATTAACAAAAATGTTGTGCGCGACAACCAATCCAGAAGAAAAGCGAAAAATTATTGGAGACGTTTTTGTGAGGGTAGCCAATGAAGCGATCACAGAATTAGGTTTGAAGCCGGAAGAAGTAATCCTTGGACAGGGCACTCTCAGGCCTGACCTCATAGAGAGTGCAAGTGCCTTGGCAAGTGGTAAAGTCACATTCATACAATTTTATTCATCTTTGTTAAAATACTTTGTGTAAAAGCAATGAAGATATTTTAATGATTAATCACAACAGGTAAAGCTGATGCTATAAAGACGCATCACAACGATAGCGATCTTGTAAGAGCATTGAGAGCACGAGGTCATGTAGTAGAACCTCTAAAAGATTTTCATAAGGACGAAGTAAGACAATTGGGATGTGATCTTGAAATACCAGCGTTACTCGTTTCTCGTCATCCATTCCCAGGGCCCGGCCTTGCCATT